TCTATTTCTCCTTAAGTCAGGAGCCCCCCCCCCCCTGTGTACTGCTGTGGGAAGAAACTGTCTTATCAGTGACACCTCATAAACCATGATAGGTCTTACACTCAACTTAACAAACCACTTTGTATATAACATAAATATAGAAAATCATAAAATATGAAGCATTTTCATTTTGGGTTATACAAGAATTTGATTATAATGAACTTTCGTTTTAAGTATTCAACCTAATATGGAGACCTCAACACAAGGCAGTACATTTTAAACAAGTCACTAGATAAGTTATTGTACATGTTTATCAGTGCAAACAATACACAAAGAAGCATTGAAATTGTAGCATTCAATGAACTAACCGCATTTACAATTCTAAAATATTAAAACACAGCAAGATTTAAAAAGCACAGTAAAAGTGCACGGTCATATTCATGATTTGCTAGCTAGGCTACCCAGAGATTACCTCACGTGGTTCTTGGCTGCTGAATACTAAGTTGAAGGCTGTTACATATTTTGACCAATCGATGTACTTTTTAGCTGTGATTTATTAGATATTAAGCTACAGTATAGATGGCCGAGATGTTCTCCAGCTGAATCAGGACAAAACCAAACTCTTGATTGTTGGTCCTGCAGCAAAACATTTGTTAAAAAACTACATTTAAAACAGTTCAGAGGCTATAGGGGTTATACTTGATTTAAATCTAAGCTTCGAACCACACATTCATAACAGAAATGTGATGAAAAAAACATTTTATCATCTAAAGAATATTGCTAGAGATTGGCCGTTCATCTTTCCAGCCAGGACAAGGACACTAATGCTTTTATTACCTGTAGAATAAATAACTTTAATGCTCTGGGGCCGTATTCACAAAGGATTTTAGGGCTAAAAGTAGCTCCTAACTGGCGAATTTAGGAGAAACTCCTAAACATAATGGGCGTGTCAGTCTTAAATTTAGGACTCCTAATTTTATTCACTAAGAGCAATTCACAAAGTATTTTAAGCCTAAAAGTAGCACCTAAGTTTAGGAGAGCTTAAAAGTCCTCGAGAGGACTCCNCTAACAGGTACGCCGATTGAGTTCGGGAGAATTAAAATGTTTGCGCAACACTCCGATTTTATGCAACAGGGAATCGCAACTTTGCACATGGCGGACGATTTAGGTATATGCAACCATCAGTCAGTGTGCCATAAACCAAACATCAACAGCGGCTCTCTAGACCACATTCTCCACAGTTTATCGGCGTTTCTCTTGGACCATCAACAACTACACAGGATCAAGCAACTTCATGGGCAATGCAGGTATGCCCGGTACTGTGGTCGGTGCTATTGACGGGCGCCATAAAAATATTGCGGTCCATAAAAGATGAGCGTGTTCGTCAATAGAAAGAGGTACATTCCACTCAACACGCAGATTGTTTCTTCTTATGATAGGGGGGCTTGACGGCGGTATGGGCTGTTATTGAAAGTGTTTAAGTGCTGGAAATGTGCTCGTTGGATCAATAGTTTGCAGGGTGCTTTTAAATTTCCCCTCGATTTTAATGCAATTTACGTTATTTTGTTTTGTTGCTCTCTCTCTTTACGTGCACTTTACAATCGTCATTATCGTGGTCTGCACAAACTTGTCATTCAATGCGTGTTATTCTGCTAACTGCAACTGTCCATAACTATTTGATAGGAATACATTTCTAGCCTAGGCTATTTCCTTGTTTTTCGGTGATTTAATGGGCTCGTTTGTGGGATGTTGCGGATGAGTTTCACCGAGACCGCCTGCTCTGAACAACCAATCACCGTACTGACCGCTTCTAAACTCATGCACGAGAATCGACGTCATCCATAGCAACGGCGCGTCACTCTTAGTTCACTCTTAGTGATTTATCCTTAGTAGGAGTAGGTCTCAGCGGCTTTGTGAATAACTTTTAAGAAAAAACTCCTACGTAAAATGTTTTGGCGCGAGTTAGGAGCACTCCTAGCGGTAAGATAAAATGCTTTGTGAATACGGCCCCTGGTCTCCATAAAAAGAATATATATCTTTCATACATTTACTGCAAAACTCAGCCACTAAAGTGTTAATCAGAAACAGAAACAGGTTTATTACCAGGTAGGTTGACACGTAAAAGGAAAATGTACTTGATGTCATGGTGCATACATAAAAGCAAAACAAAAATAAAAAAACACAGATAGAGAACTAGAAAAATGTGAAAAAAAATATAACAGTATTTACATAGAAATGGAATGGAATAGAAATCGGCAGAAATAATAAAACAGATATTGTTGTACATTGTGTGCATTAATGTAGTGGATAGAGTCTATAACGAGAGGCAGGAGGAGACCTCACGTCACCCCGATGTTAGCGTCTCTGCTCTGATCTGACGTTTGTTAATCTGCTGAGCTTTCCTTCAGCTGTTTTTAAGCACAAAAGAGTCTCCTTCATCCATCATCTCTTCCTCTTCACTCTCTCTCTCTCTGTATCTCAGGTGCAGAACCAGATGCAGAAGGTTCTGTTGGAGCTGGAGGTTCAGAGCGAGCACACGTCGAGGCTGGAGAGCAGCTGCCGGGCTCTGGAGCGCTCGCTCAGCCAGTCGGGCCACAGACTGCAGGTCAGCTCACATCTGATGTTTCATATTTGTATTAACACAATAGGGTTATCTAGGGTTGGCCATTCATATCCTACGGAGGTCATTTATTGACCGGGAACATCATAGGTGTTAAATTCAATGAAAGAGGAGATCAGAATTCCTTTATTTGTCCCGCAACAGGGACATTGACATCATTACAGCAGCAGAATATATTAATATAGTTCAGATAAAGTGAAGAGAATAGACTTATTCAAACATAACTAAGTATGCACACGTCCAGCCACAGACTGCAGGTCAGCTCACATCTGATGTTTAGTATTATATTACATTTTTATGGCATCGAAATCGTCCGGATTTTAAAACATCCTTGGCAGTTTTGAGAGGACGTTTTATTCTAGAAAAATGCTCAAACCCTCCTTTTGTGTTTGTTTCTCTCCCCTTACTTTGTTTTCCCGGTCAAATGTCTTATTTGAACTGCTCTTAAATTGAAAAAAACCTTCATCATCACCACCTTTTATCTCAGAATCTATTAGTCCCACAGAGGGGACATTTACAAAGACAGCTTAATGTTACCTAAGTAGCATGCATAACATATATATATATTTTTTATTATAATAAAAAAAGTTACACAATTTACAAAAAACACATCCTGTAACAGTTCTGAGGATTTAGCAGCAAGGTATATATTGCAGTGAGAAAGCAGTCCTCGGCACACAGGTGGAAGCGTAGGAATCTAAGCTCATTAGGTTGTAGGTCCACAGAGTTCACAGTGAAGATCCACAGAGTTCACAGTGAAGATCCACAGAGTTCACAGCTGGTCCATCAGGGTGGGGGAAACATGAGGTAATGAGAGGGGAGGGAGGGGGGCTGTTACAGCATTCTTCCCCTGATTAGACAGGGGCCTGAACACAACCCCTTGCCTGCAGTTGCGTAACCATCTGGAAGCTAATTCTCTGTAGCTGTTTATCTGGGTTATGAGCAGCAGAGGTGGAAGAAGTACTAAGAGTGTGTACTTTATTTAAAGTAGAAGTACCAGAGAGTAGGAATAATCTGTTACAGTGAAAGTCCTGCATTCAAAATGTTACTCAAGTAAAAGAAGGAAGGTATTAGCATCAAAATATAGTTAAAGGTGGGGTAGGTAAGTTTGAGAAACCGGCTCGAGATACACTTGTTGTTATATTCCATGGAATGCTCTTAACATCCCGATAGCAATGAATATCTGAAGTGCTTTGACAAAAAATCCATAAATAAATATCACCTGTGGAAGCCGTAGTACAGTAAAAAGCACAACCAATCATCTGAGCCGGCCCGGCTAAAGTAACTGGATGGCCTACCTGCCTGTCAGCCTTCCATCTGTGCACAAACTTATCTCGTGCTCTCATTGGTCATGTGCGCGTTCGTGTGTGTTGGAGGAGGGGCTCTGTAAGGAAGTGGCAGATTTTTTCCGGCTCTGTATTTTCAAATTCTACCGCACTCGAGCCGGTTTCTCCAAAATGACCTACCCCACCTTTAAGGTACCAAAAGTAAGTAGAGTACTAATACCTCAAAATTGAGCTCGAATACAGTACTTGAGTTAATCTACTAAATTACTTAACACCACTGATGAGTGTGAGTGTAAAGGTAGTTCCAAATTAGGTACCATATACTCCAGCACAATGTTGTCTTAATGTACATTATTTAATTTCATATTCTGTTCATGTACATATCCCATATTCTGTTTACATGCATATAGACTTTTTGCACTACTTGTTATTTTGTATTTTATTTTATAAAACGGGCAATTCAAATCAAGCAATCTGATTGGTTCTTAGCCGTGATATACTGAGCGTATACCACGGGTAGAATTGTAAGTTACTTTTCACAACAAGTCAGTATCCCTCCGCGTCTGAGAAAAACCGTATACCATTGGGCTGAACCACGCCCCTTAGCTGTGATATAATGAGCATATACCACGGCCTGTCGTGAGCTATTGCTTAAATATAAGTTGCATTGTTGGAGGAGCTCAGGTCAGAATAATTTCATTGCCATTTCTACACTGTAGCTTTGTGCATATGACATTAAAACCTTTGAAAAATGTAATTTGAATGTGCACTACTCCTCATTGTATTGCACATAGAGTGTATTATTCCTCAGCATGTGTCCCTCGTGCAGGAGAAGGAGCAGGAGCTGGAGCAGCTGACTAAAGAGCTGAGACAGGTCAACCTGCAGCAGTTCATCCAGCAGACCGGCACCAAGGTCACCGTGCTGCCTGCCCAGCCTGCAGGGGACAACGGTACACACACACACACACGAACACACACACACACACACGAACTTGCCACAATACCATGACCTTCTATCATAACTAGCCTCGTTTGGATGAAAGTGCTTTGTTTTCATTATTGTCTTCACATGTGTTTGTACACAGTGCCCCCTTCTGGTCATNAGGGCGGAGCTCCAACAAGCCGTTTAGGACAGAGAGTGAATACACATACTATACAGAGATGCTGTATGAGAACAAGCCGTTTAGGATAGAGAGTGAATACACATACTATACAGAGATGCTGTATGAGAAACCAATGTGAGTTTGGAAAATTGCAACATTAAATCTATTCTAGTAGACCTCAACAATGGAATTATGATCAGTAGAAATGGCCATGACATGGGACCTTTAAGTTACTTATATGCACTCGTACTGTAGTTTATCCAACATGTTTGTTACTAGCTAGCACTACCGCTGCCCACCGTTATAAATGTGCAGGTGCATCCTGTTTAACTTTTTGTTACTATTACCCTGATGAATGTTGATAAATGTTCCCATATGTTCAGTCTTAGAAATATATTTACGTGACAAAAAGGATTCATTGTTTTGTTTGTTATTTGCACCTTAATCCATTCTTTAAGGTTGAGTTTTTGAAACATATTTATTCAGTAGTGTGCTGCAGGACAATTAATCATTTATACGTGTTTCATAATCATTTACTTCTCCAGTTAATTTCAAATTAAGTCCTGTATTCAAAATGTGTTTAATTAAAGCTTATTTGAAAAAAATACATTTGATTTGTTTGAAACAGGCACCAATTATCTCAGTGTGGCCTTGCAACTCTCCTGCATTCAAACCCACCCCCACCCAAACCCCTTGATATTAGTATGGTACACCCAAAGCCTCCCCTCACACACACACACACACACACACACACACACACACACACACACACACACACACACACACACACACACACACACACACACACACACACACACACACACACATCTGTCCCCTCCACACACACCACTGTCCCCATCTCTTCACTTTCACAAATGAAGAGAGACAGCCTTATCCCGGAACCAACACGGAAAAGCAATTAAAAAGGAATTAAGGGTGTGCAGGGAGAAATTGGATATGATATCCGACGCCTATTGTAAATGTCATCGTTATTACCGTGTTGTTGTTTCCCCATTCCTTTGGCCGCCTTGCCCGTTTTCAGGAGTGACATCCCATAGTCTGCCGGACTTAATGAAGCCGTCTCAGCAGCCAGGGTCTCGGTATGTGAGGTGAAGAGTTCTGCTTATCCTCTTCTGCATGAAGCTCTCATTAAAATCACTTTTTACTGCTTCTCTTCTGTCTCTGTCCTCGAGCAAATGTCTGTTAAACTTATTTAACAGAGCTGCCCCTAATGCCATGTGAAATGTTACTGCTCTTTATCTAATTAAATCTAATCTAATGTTGTAAACTCACTTCGAGGTGGAGTGGTGATTGCCTTTTGGCATTAGAGGGGTTTCAAGGCAAAACAAACAACCTGTAGAAAACACATTTTAATGTAACACTTTCACATTGGTTTGTTGTGTTACAAAATATCCAGCGGTCATGAGTTAAATCCTGACGTACAAGAGGAGATTTAGAGTGAGGGACTATTTACAAGACGCAAATTAATTCAGTTAAATGTCACCAAACTCAGTAAACCCAATCCATCAGTATTACCATAACTTCGGGTGTACATTTGCTCAATTATATGTCACATTAATCTGTAGATTCTTGTAAAAGGTAAAGATTTCCAATCATGTTGCTTCTACATTACTGTAAGACAAAAATGATGGTAACAGCTCTTCTAGGATTAGATATGAAAACAGATCTGTTCTTGGAAATGTTGTGTTTCAGATAGATAGATAGATAGATGGATGGATAGATAGATAGATAGATAGATAGATGGATGGATAGATAGATAGATAGATAGATAGATAGACAGATAGACAGATAGACGGATAGATGGATAGATAGATAGATGGATAGAAGGATAGATAGACAGATAGACAGATAGATGGATAGATAGATAGATAGACAGACAGACAGATAGAGATAGATAGATAGATAGATAGATAATATGTGACCACCATCAAGCATTACAACTGGTCATAGTGGAAGTTAAATAAATTACATTTCGATATTAAAATGAATGCAGTCCATTTTCATGTCTTATTTTAAAAATTGTTTTGTGAAATTGCAATATATATAAATTGGAAGTATCTATCAAATATGTAGTTGATATAGCTGGAGTCTTTGGACAACAGTCTTTACCATTGACTCCCACTATTGTTTGACATGGGAGGTAAAATGTCAGGTTTGCAAACGTACTTCAACGGCATGTTTGGGGATTAGAAAGTTAGTCACTATTGGCTGAGTTAGTCTGTTTTGTAATCGTAAGTGTATGAAATGACTAGGTAAGCTACGTTAGCTAGCTAGCTTACAGCAAATCTTCAGTAATTTTGTAAGGAATCATGCGATCACATTGTTAAAATAAGCCAATAAATCGTACATTTTATTTACGTTTTTCAGTGACATTGATTGTCATGGCACACATTATTTGGCCTGAACACATGGTGTTAAGCAGGCGCCACCTTTTGGTCGTTTGTTGTAATGAAAGTTAAACATGTTTGCAATTTCTCATTGGTTAGGTCAGATCATGTGACTCACAGTTCAGGGGTTAACAGGAAAAAACTGGTAGGCATTAAGACTGAGGGTGTTTCTCAATGTCGAGGACGCTTCTAGGACAAGTCCCTCCGAGTCAGGTCCTTCAGAAGCGATGGAAGAATCCTTCCTAGCCTTGGAAAACGAAGAATGGTGGAACAGGCTAACAGGTGTGCAGGTGTGCGTCATATGCGAGGCCCCGCCTTAAATGGAGCGCGATTTCGGCCAAAGATTTGGAAATTGGTCCGTGCGCAAAGCATTGTGGGGATTTTAAGACCGCGGAAGATACACATGTGCAGCCTCGAAATTTCCCGCAACGAACGACGCTGGCCTCGGTAGAATTCCAAGGATCCTGGACATTGGAACAGTCCTTCGGCTGCACTCGATGACGTAGCATTCTTGAAATAGTGGCTCTGGAGCAGCCTTCCTCGACATTGAGAAACATCCAGAGAGTTCTCCATGTGGATTAGCAGAAGGACTCTCTTCCTGATCTCAATGGAAAGCCTTTGCTTGTGAGTTTTGTAACTTTTTCTCTGTCTGAATAAATGTCCATTAATATGTTTGGTTGAAATAGCTAAGCTGTTTTTGCTGAGGTTAAACGCTGAGCCAAGCAGAATGTGTCTTTGTGTTTTGGCTTGTGCATGGAGGATATTTTGTAAGCAAGATAAGATTTATTTGTGCTGCACATTTGGAGCCATCACCAAACTGCAGCGCTTTACTAAAACAAATACCAACAAATATTAAGAAATCAAATAAAAACAACATTTGGCTACATAAATAATGTATTTATTACTCCAAACTGCATTTAGTCATTGACACAAATTATGTAACAAAAACCAATAATGGTATTTAATGTGGGTTTTTGTGCACTAAGACTCTAATGATCAGAAATGTATTGAATTTGAATTCCTACAACAAAATAAAAAGAGCAATCCTGCAACAGAATCTTTGGTACTTTCCAGTATTTATATTTCAGTCAGACAACTCACGTGTTTCTTAATATGTTTATTATAAGCAGTATATAGTTTGAGTATGGCGTCTAGGCTCGGGCCTCATCACTCCACAGATTTACAAAGAACATTGAGTGATGATTAGATAACTTTCCCCCGAGCCTACAGGTGGAAGCTGGGGTGGAAGCTGGGGTGGTGGTGGGTCAGGCGAGCAGCATGTAGTCCATGTAAACAATAAATTAGACCCTCCAGAAAAACGCGGGCAAAAATCCTTGATTATGCGGGCTAAAATCCTTGGTTATGCGATAAAACATGTGGGGTTTTATGTGATTTTATGCGGTGAAACTGCGGGAAGTTGCGAAATATGCTAAATATGCGGGAAAAAAATTATCGATTTTTTTTAAAATATTGGGCTGTCTTATTTATTCTCTCTCAAACACAACCTGCCACTAACGTTAAACCCCTTTACTATTCAATTAAACACATTCAATGTTTATTTATTGTAAAAGCAATTGGGCTATTTTAATCTCACGCACACACC